ATACTTTAATACTTAAGAACAAGTATGAACATTGCTTTGATAGCTTCTTAATAGTTCTTATTTTTTTGGTGGCGCTTTAATTAATTAACATTGTATTTTCTCTTAAGTTTATAGAAATCCAACCTAAAATTATAATTTGCAAATAATAGAAGTTTACAGTAAATTATACATTACGTGGTTCTGATTTGTCAGCATTGCTTCTGTGGCATATGACAAACAAATCTATACTCCTAAAATTGTCATATGTTTAGTTTAAGTTATGTCAATTGGACCGTTTAACAGCCGCTGAACGTTTAAAATTATAATCATTTTTTAGAAAAATGACGATTTTTATAATAAACATGTTTACTATGAAGAGATAATGGTGGATATAGTCTTTCATTTAAACGCACTTAAAAATATTAAAGAAACTAAATCTGTGACAGATGTGCTAAAACTAGATAACGTATCAGCTTCACATATATAATAAATCAGTAGTGACTGTAACTGAAAAATTTTAGAATGTCCTCTAAGCAAACGAGCAATATTTGGATTAATATAAATGAAATATTAATATAAAATATATTTTAAACTCTAATAAACATTGATTGTGTCAATTATTGCTTATGGTAGTCTGATGAAATGATAAACAATAATCCAATCAAGACGTAAAGAAGGGTTTTGAAGATACCTCGCAGTTAATAGACAGCAAAAGTGCTCAAATGTACTGGCTCAACTAGCTTCAACATAACATAATAATGGAATGCATTTACCTAACCCAACATGTTTCTACGAATTCAGTCAGAATGCACTTGAAGGTTTAGTCACCAAAAAACCAAGGAACTTTAAGCACATATATACATATATAGACAACATTATCATCATCGACATCATCCTCATCACCAACATCATTATCATCATCACCACAGTCACGGTTATCACCATAATCATCATCACCATAAATGTTTGTGAAATAAACATCGAAGTTATTACAATAGAGATTATGCTAACCGAAGAAAACTGAACCGCCATAGACCGATTCGTTACGGTCTACTCAAATGGAAAAAATATGATCTCGAAAATGATTAATTTCAAAAAATATGTAAACAAATAAACTGAAGTGAGGACTGCATGCAGTCTAGCGAAGAAAATTTTTAAAGGATACCCAACACAGGAACCCTACCTTGACGTATTCTCGATAAAGTTTCCGGGTAGAAACGGTCTGACACTGAAGGGTGATTGTTTTTAATCCTTGCTAACCGGGCATACCACTATTGTGACGGCATTGTGACGTTACGTTAGGTATTTTTAAATCGCCAATCCAACAAAAAAAACTATCTTTATAATTAATATCATCATCATAATCCTAATCATCATCTTCATCGTCATCATTATCATCACCACCATCCTTGCTCTCAACATTATTATCACCACCATCATTTCTCTTAACATCATCAACACCACCATCATCATCAACATTATCATACTATCAGCATCATCATCATTATCGTCATCATATCGTTAAGATCACCGTCATATCATCGTCATCATCTTCCTCAACATCATCACCATCATCATTATCATTATCATTATCATTATCATTATCATTATCATTATCATTATCATTATCATTATCATTATCATTATCATTATCATTATCATTATCTATCATTTATTTCTCATTTCATTTATTTCTTACTATTATCATTTCTTCATTTCCATTATCATTATCATTCACTTATCATTATCATTTTCATTAGTCATTATTCTTATCATTATCATTCTCTTTTACTATCATTAAATTATCATTATCATTATCAATTATCATTATTCATTATCATTTCATTTATCATTATCATTATCATTTCTTATACATTATCGGTTATCTTATCTATCTTATCATTGTCATTATCACTTTCTTATATTTATCATTATCTTATCATCTTCTTTCATTATTCTTTTCATATCAGTTCTCTTATCTTTCATTATCATTAATCATTTGCTTATCATTATCATTACTCATCTATCATTATCATTTCATTCTCTATCATTATCATTTCTTATCTTATCATTATCATTATCATTCTCATTATCATTATCGATTATTCATATCATTATCATTATCATTATCATTATCATTATCATTATCATTATCATTATCATTATCATTATCATTATCATTATCATTATCATTATCATGATCATCACCATTCCTTCCTTTTATCATCATCATCACCTAAGCTTGTTTCACAACACTCTTCTGTTCTTTTCTAATTTTTTTCTTTGTATCCCAGTTGCTGATATTCATTTTTCGGAGATTTTGCTGCAAAATATAATCTCATCTTTTTCTTGATCTTCCTCGCTTTCTTGTTGTTCGGAATTCGCCCTACAATATTCGTGATGATGTTATATGTAGCATTTTCTATAGGCGTACACATAATGTGCCCAGTTTACTCTAGGCGTTGTTTTTTTATGTATAATATTGAAAATTAAATGGTATTTCATTAGATTTAAAATTTTCTTTCATATACTAAATGTAGCTTTCAATATTATCCCACAGAGTCTTATTAATAACAGTAAGATCCTTGAAAAGAACATTACATATTTTTCATTCAAGCATTTATTCACAATCATTTACAGTTAAGGTATGTTGTTGTGGAATAACACTGCAATTAACAATAAAGTACTTTAATGTATAATTTACAATGATTATTTAAAATAAAAAAGAAATAAATTAATTAATTTACTCATTACTGTCTTTGCTTATTACTTCAAACGAATTTTAAATGAAAACTGTATTTTTTTGTCTCGCCCAGCGTGTAAATTTATTTATTTGCCTTTTGCTGGGATTCCAGAGAGAGAGTTGTTTTTTTGAAAATAGTTCATATATAAATGTAAAGGCAAAAAACTTAATTAAATTATTTGTTAATTAAATCACAAAAAGACGGAATATTATATTAAAATCCGATTTCCAGCATAAACCGCAATTAATTTCAACCGCAATGCAACCGGAAATGGCAGCCATCAAAAGCGCAATCAAAGTTGCACTCAAACTGTTGAGGGCAGAGTGAAAAGTTTTGTTGGAAAAGCAATTTTTCAACGTGCAGGCTGCCAACAATAACAACAACAACAACAATAACATTGCAACTTCGACAGCAGCAACACCAGGAAAAAATCCCAATTTAATTATTTAATAAAATAAAAAGGAATATAAAGCACTGCAGGCAGGCATTGCCTTTGCAAGAGCTTTCCAACGGATTGCAACAAGAGTGGCGACTTTTGCGGTTTCATTTCATATTTTTTATTTAATTTATTTGAGCCTAGAATTTCTGTTAAATTAATTTTAATGGTTTTCACTGACAAGGGAGAAATTGGAGAAAAATCACGCTAAAGTTGCACTTTCATAAATAAATTGTAAAGTCATAAAACTCTACTGACACAGTTCAAAGCTATTTAATCCACTTTTTGGTAACACCGCAACCAAAAAGTCAAAGTTGAAACGCCAACGAACCATCCGATCCAGTTGAGAGAATAGAGGTTGGAGGCATTTAAGTTGGTTATATACATTTCATTAAAAACATGTGAACTACAATTAAAAAATATTTAAAAGTTTCACTCAAGTTTATTTGGTAAATACGAATTTCTGTTTTTATACTGAAGGACATATGGGCGTTTGGAAAGGACGTCGGCAATATGAAGTAAAAAAAAAAAAACATCAAAACGATTATGTATATTTTAATTATAAAAGTTAATTATTTAGCTTGTTCCTTTGACAGTTTAGTAACTGAAGTTGGTGTATTAACTCATAAAGTACTTTTCATAATCAAAATCAACCTCGAAAGTTGAGAAAACATTTTGATAATTAATACTCTCATATTGCTTTTGAGGAAGAAAATAATTTTTTAATCGAAATATAGTACCTTCATCTTCACGGATGGATACAGTAACAAGAAGAAGAGAAGGGAAGAGAAGAGAAGAGAAGAGAAGAGAAGAGAAGAGAAGAGAAGAGAAGAGAAGAGAAGAGAAGAGAAGAGAAGAGAAGAGAAGAGAAGAGAAGAGAAAAGAAGAGAAGAGAAGAGAAGAGAAGAGAAGAGAAGAGAAGAGAAGAGAAGAGAAGAGAAGAGAAGAGAAGAGAAGAGAAGAGAAGAGAACATAAGAAAAAAGAAAAGAAGAAGAGAGAATAGAAGAGAAGAGAATAATCTTTCAATCAGAATATAATATCTCAATCTTCACAGAGGGAAAAAAAATTAACTGCATGGTAGGAGCCTAATTCAAGCTATTTTACGCAGTTACCTGCTGTGATGACTTAATACCACAGTATTCTAAACCAGCGTCTTAAAATAAAAAGTTTGCAATAAATTCTGCCGATATATATGTTTGGCGCTTATATGGATGTGTCCCTGGTTTCAGTTTTCCCTGAGGCCATTAAGAAACGCAAGTACTTTTACTTACTGCAGTTAGCTAATGATAGCTGAAAATAACTCACAATATATAAAACATCCTGCTCGATCTGGGCTGTACACAATAAGACTAAGTTCATGATACACCGAGATCAAACTGCTACGATGATTGCAATTCTTTCAGGTCATTAGTATATAAGATCCCACTGCTCCTCTTCTAATTATAAATTAGTTAATTGAACAAACACACACTTATTCTTTTACTCTCCACTTTCTCTAAAGAAAGAAAGAAGAAATTTTTGAAGAAGTATTTTATGGACAGTTCAATAGACTGCTCATTAGTGAAAAAAGATTTTTTAAACTAAATGAAATCAAATAAATGGAACTTGTTATCCTATAGGGGAACTTGATATTATCATGATATATAAGTGCAATTTACGTGAGGTGGAAGGGTATTTGTCAATTAGTTTCTTCAGCCACCCAACCATTACCTATAAATTTAGTCCAATCATATTTGATCTTATTTGCTTAAAATTTAAATTGACATTGATAAAAAATAAAAAATCCTATTCGTTTAAATAATTTTTTGTAATTATAATGAATTAATATATGTACAAAGATTTACAAAGAAACTAAAAAAAAATATCTTTAATTAGAAGATCAATTTAAAAATTGAAAGAAAGAGAATATTATAATCGATCTATTCAGGCGAAACTAAATTCAAGGTAACTTTCTAAATTTTCGATAAATACAATTCTTTATGTAGGTATAGGAATACATATAAATATAAATATATATATAACTCTACATGTAGAAATAGATATATATCTACATATAGATAGATATACTTATATACATGCTCACATATGCATAGATTAATACATATGTATATATATTTATGTGCATACATAATGTACATGCATTTATATTTCTACAGAGATTATATTATATATTTTTTATTATTATTATATTGAGGAAAGTTGAGTCAGTGCACCTGAGCACTTTTACTCTATATTAACTGCGAGGTTTCTTCAAAACCCCTCTTTGTGCCTTGACTGGATTATTATTTATCTCATCATCAGACTAAGTAATAATTGATCTCAGATCTGCATACCTCCCAGAGGAGCCTGTAACTATTCTGAGATTTGATAACGCGGTGTTAGTAAGTCTGTCAGATTTCGCAAATAATTTCAAGGCTCTATCTTTTATGTATTTTTTGATGGGATCAATCTTGAGGTCCCTAAGGATGTCATTCGTCCTAATATACCAAGGAACTTTGAAAAGTCTTCTTAGAGCCTGACTTTGTGCAATTTCTAATTGGTGAATAGTAGTGTTTGAAGCTTTGCTAAACGCTACATATAGTGAAATTATTGATTACTTATAAAATTTTTTGTTAATTATTGTAAATCTGTTTCATTGACTTTGCGATTACTTTATTCTCTCCATGGGGAATGAAGTAATTTCTTCCCGATACAATACATGTTCGCTTCTTCCAATCCCAAGACTAATGGTTAATTTTTGGATTCCTATCAAATCGTCATGTGTGTCTCTTGAATAGTGTCGAAACAGTGTTCCCAGAGAGAACTGTTAAGCTCAAAGAATATCAGAAGCCTCAGGGTGCTAATACAGGCGAATACAATGATTGTAAAACATTAAGATCCAATTTTGTTCCCAAACTCTCTAAAAGAAAAAGAAATGAATTAAAGTCTGATCACCGAATCCCCTCCGCTGTATAGTCAATATATTTACTGCAGAAATTTCCTCTTTGGGTCAAATGCAGATATTAAAACTTGACCATAAATGTCAGTGACAATAGTACCAACTAAAAGCGGAAAGTTTCAGTATCAAAAAGCCCACTTATTTTAATTTAAAGTTTATCCTATTTTTCGATCACAGTAGTTATATTTTGATCCATAGCTCATAAAATTTTTTATATGGCAAATTTATTTTAAAAAAATTTCATAATTATATTTATTTACTGCTTGTTGTTACAGGTAACTCTTAGCTGAAAATAGCAATCATATCACTGGTTAACCAAATTTTAATAGTATTTAAACTAAAGCCGTAGGTATAATATGCTTCTATGGTCGGATATACTTTAAAACAATTTAATAAATATCTTTTTAGGACCACTTGATTTTACAATGCCTTCAAAAAGGAATATTGGTCACATTCGTCGTGCTAAGGTAGTTGAGGATGATTCAGACTCGGAAGATGCTCCAGAAATTAATTCAGACGGCATAATTACATTTGTGGACGAGGAAGTACCACGTGTTAGTGCACAGCTTAATGAAGCAACCTTGAATACAAGTTGCAATAGCCAAAGTCAAGTCGCTGTGTCATTAGCCGATATAGAAATGTTTCACCCAACACTACAAATTTTAGAAGAAAATCAACGCATTCATAATATGTGGCAAGGATTTTTTAACCAAGGTGCTGTGGAATTGAGAAGAGTGATTGACAATCATTGCGCCGGGAGAAGAAGACGTATCGCTCAGAGAAGTAGTTCCATACGAACACTTTGCATGTCTCCCATTGATTTCAATCTTCCGCAAATACCATTGTGGCAAGAATTCGGTTTTTTTCAAAAACGTGGAAAAAAGAAGGTGCGTGAATATGAAGACTTTTATGATAAGAAGCAAAATATGGGCAGGAAGGTTCACATCGAGATAATAAAACTTGATGAGAAACCACCACACACACACACACACACAAACGATGTTAAAATCCCGTCTAAAAGTCCAAAACCTCAGGGTAAACTCTTTTCTGATTCGGAATCTGAGTCCGAATGGTCTACGGATACGGAAGTTGATAAATAAATTTTTTAAATTACAAATCGCTTTTCCACGAGTGTGAATTAAGTTGCGTATTAAAACAAATTATTAACTATATTTTGCTAAAAGACAATAAAAAAAATATACACCTATTATAAAATATACAACTTTTCGGGTTTTTATATACATATTAAGCTTGTAATACGAAAATTTTGCTAAGATTAATTACATTGTGTTAAGCATTGAAGTAAATTGTTGGTTTTAGGTCACAAGTCGCCGTACTGTTACTTTGGCTAGTATACCTACAAGGTATTAGACACCGTATTTTACGGATCCCAATAGCTTGTTCTCAGAAATTTCGGTGAATTATACTTCTTTTACAATTCTAGACATCGGTAGAGACATGAGTGATATTTTGACAAATAAAAGGCAGTCATACTAAAGTCACTTACCATGATTGGACCAGAACCCAGAATACTATTGGGTTACAACATGATGATAGCCTATGTCTATAAATGGATAACCTTACTTCATCTTAACAGATCGAAAGAGTTGAGCACTTGTAGACAAACTCATTTTGCCGAAATCGTGAGTCAGCGGAGCGATAAAAGTGTTTAGCTATCAGCGAAGGAGACAGTGGGTTGGTGATGACTTCGCAGGCAGGTAACCTCAAGCAAGATAAACTGGATAACGACATCCGAGAATAGAAGGACGAAAAAGGACCCAAGTGGTTTCGTGATCTACTTCGGCTAATCCATCACTTCAGTGGGGCCACTTGTTGGTCGGTGCGCTGTCCCAACGTCCTAGCACATATATATACCAAATTATTGAGGTATGCTTGTAGAGAGCCCGAAATAACATCTGCTGGCAAGAGTGACTCTTTGTTAAATTTCTAATCTGATGTCATTTTTACGCTGCTTGCTAGATAAACAAAGTCTTTCACAACTTCGAACTTATAATTGTCAACAGTAATATGGGTTCCAAGATGCTAAGGAGATTTTTTTGTTGACAATAAGTACTTCGTTTTATCCTTATTTATATTGTATACAATATTGCATTTATTAATTATTTAACAATGATTGGATATCTCAAAATTTTTAAATTAATTTTTAAAAATAAAATTAACATTTAATTGAATTAATTTCTTCTGAAACAGCTCAGCAAGCAATTAAATAGTTCTCATATTTTTATTTCCATTTAAGTAGTATGAATATATGTATCCCTTATATTCCTTTTAAAATAAACTGAAGCATATAAGAGTCTTCTTCCCTTAAACAATTCGTACGCATATTATAATCTTAGTCCTTCTTCAGTACTGTTAAGATATAAGACCAATGCTATATATCTTAGTCATAAAATGAGTTTATTGATATATTCATATGGAGTAACTTGAAACAATCGTAAATTATTGCAATAAAAATCTCCTTAAGTCTTTTGAAACCAAACTATTCTGTTCATTTTTTCAAAACAATTTTACGATCTTGAAAAATAATAAAATTTTTTATACGCATAATTAATAATATAAAATTTAATTATATGCCAGCAAACCAAAAAAATTACTCAACTAAGATTTAAAAATATTAACTCATGATTTGTAAATGTACAATTTTATTATTTATGTAAATATCATTTAAATTCAGCAATAAAATATTTATTAATAATATTTTAATTTCAGTTTCCAAGCCGCTATAATCGTTTATGGCTTAAAAATTCATAAAATTCTGTTTATTTTATTATGACTTATTTTTATATAAAAATATATAAAATAATTATTTTTAAAACAAATTGCTATTAAAAAAATTTTTATATTTAGATTTATAGCAAGAGAAAATTGTTGAGTCAGAGTTCAACATTTTGAGTTTTTATTTATACCATATATAGCACTTGTAGTTCTAATATACGCACAATTTCAATATTAATCTAAACTGACTAATACTAATATTTTGTATATGTATATATTCATATATATCATCTTGGAACAGCTGAGTATACAGTAATTTAGTGCAAGTTTAAGGGTTGAACTTGTACCCTGCCAAATTTTAAGCTCAGAGTCAACGCTCCTTAACTAACTCACCCAAAGCCATACTTGACTTGTATGTCCTACTCTACTCTACTTTGTTAATTTAATGTTATGTTATGTTAAGCCTTTTCCGAGTTAATGCTTCTGGGTACTTTTACTCTATGATAGCTGGGGGGGGATTCTGCATAGTCCCGCCCATCTCACTGATTAATTTGAGTATTCCTGATAAACTTCATGATTATTCAATGATTGATCTAAGATCTACGTACCGCCAAGTGCGGTGAGTGATTACTCTGAGATTAGATAGTGCTAAGTAGGGCAGCCTGTCGGTTAATTTTATAAATAATAAAATTTTTTGTTGTTGCGATTCATTACGGTTAAAGATTTTTTTAGAGATACACTATATAAAATAAAAATGATTAAATTTTATATAATTTTATATTGTTAATTTTTAATGCTATTGTATAACCTTTATTAGAGTATCTGAAACATTTATTATTTGTATCCACGTTGGCAGCAATTTAAAAAATGTATCTAACCTACAGTATCGCTCTCTATGAACATAATAATTCGATTCATAGAGTTCATTCTTCCCAATTAATAAATAATTATGTTTTTTAAGTTGGAAATGTCAAGAAATAATTAATTTGTAATTCTAATTTGGTCTGAACACGAGAAAAAACAACAAATTAATAAAAAAATTTTAAAGAAAAACTTAACTACGGAAAAATGGAAAATTGGAAAAATGAACATAAATCAATTTTACCCCAGAAACTGAAATATTCGAGGCATAAAATATTTAAAACACGCAATTAAAAATAATAATGAAAAAAAAAAAATTCTTTGGATGTGTTAGATAAATTAATTAAACAGCTTTTGCTTTCATTTGGACTTGAAAGGAAAGGAAAGAAAAGGAAAGGGAAGGAAATTAAAAACTGTCAAAATCGTTTATTAGAACAAAAATTATAAAAGTGAAAATTAGTTACGCACAGTCTATTCCGCCCAAATGAGTTTAATTCAATTATAGAAATTCACTTGAAGTCAATCTGCAGTGAGACCCCAGTGCACTGGCAAGCAGCCGTGCATTCGTGTACTGCATTATTGGATATGAGTTATCTGTTCGGTAAAGGAGGCAGAACAGGGTTAACCGCATAGTATGCCTCATTATGTCCAACCAAGCGGGCCACTATAAACCACTCTTAACGCAGTGTGCATCAAGCGTGGAATCACACAAAGTGAAATTTATGGAAATTGGAAAAGGAAGTGACCGTTGCTTGAGTGTGCTCCGTATTCGGGTGTGGATGTGGGTGAGTAGATGGAATTATTTGTTCACGTTTAATGGTGTTGTTCTGGTTTATAAAGGCAACAGCATGTGCCGAAATGATCTATTAAAATTAGTGAAGCTTATAATTTCTTAAATTTTATGCGTTGTTAGTTTTTTAAATTCTCGTTGATTGGCTTCAACTTAGTTTATAATTTTTCTTTTGTCAAATTGTATCTAAAAAGACATAAATTAATTGAATTGTTATTGAGTTGGAATAAGAAAAAAAATAATTTCTATAGTAATTTATTTTATTCATACCATATTTCGAATACATATTAATTTATGTTAATTATTTGTTCGAGAATCAATATCAATTTAGAAGCAATGAAGTTTAGAAATTGTTTTACTAAATTAAGAAATGTATTATAATACACGAAAAACTGCTTTTCTTCGATAAATATGTATGCATAAGTATAGAAGCATGACATAATAATTTCTATCATTATGATTTATGATATATATCACCAAAAAAACTGCTTCCAATTGAAAATATTTGGTTATATATGAACTTAAGTACAAGCTAACAGAGGACACTTAACCCATTAAGTAAAAGCCAGATAGTCTTTATTAACATTTTTATCAATTAAAAAATTTTGTTGAAAAATTCCCAATATCGGATAAGATCATTAACTTCTACCTTAATATTCTTCATCCGAAGAACCTACAATGCCAGACGGACACAAAAAATGCATTTCTACCCATAAAAATAAATTCTCTTATAATAATTTTCCACCTTAGTCTATGGAAGCTATAGCTTAATAACAGTCAAATTATTCTAAACAATCCCATTGTCAGAATAATGATAAAGCCGCTTGGATGAATTTTGTTGTAAGAAGTAATACTTTAAGAACAGATATATAATAGTTGCCTAATGTATACCACTGTTCAATATTACTCGCTTTTAATAATTTCGTTGCGATGATAATAAAACAACTGAACAGAGCTGATAATAAATTTCAGACAAGACATTGTTAGATGTCTTTATAATTGGACAAGACAGTTAGACGTCTTTACAACTAAATTAAGACGTAAAATATTTTCGGATTTGACAGGTCTGGCCGGGCCAAAAAGCCTAGTAAATCAGGATATGTTTTACAAGAACCAAGAAGAAACCTTAATGTTAATTTTACCTTTAAAAAATATTGACTAAGTTTATAGAAAAAACTTCCTCGGCATGAAAACCAACACTATCCCAGACAAAATTAAAATTTTGACTAATTTTATTAACATTCAGGTGTCAATCTATACGCGATTTTGTGTCTGTTAGTGTCTCACTAGGTGTCTTTTGAAGGGATTCTGCCATGCTGTTTGACGTGCATAGTTCCATATATATTTAACCGATTGTTACCACGACCTAAAGCCCGGAAAAATTTAAAACAGAAATAGTTCTTGGTAGATTTTTTAAATTTTTATTGTTACTTAATTGAATAATCAGCTGACCATAACGCGCTTTCGAGTTTTGCCATAGTTCGAAGGCAATAATTATTGTGAAGTTTAAACCAATAGTTCTTGATAACACAATTTAAACCTTCTAACCCTTACAAGTCTGTCAAAGACGATTAGTCATCGCTTGTGTAAAATGATAACTTCTGTAAAATGGACATTGAAACCTCTAAGTATATTCTCTTATCACTTCTATGATTTCACTTCCAAGGCAGGCATTTCCATCCTTCGGACGGCCTCGTGATATTCATAAGAAATGGAATAAATCAAATATGCTTATATTTTTTGAACGTTTAAGGTTAGGTTAAGACAATGGACTACCCGAGTTGTGGGTCAAGGTATTCCATACAAAATAGT